CCTATAGGTTTTGCTTATCTAAAGCTAATCTGGAATCTGAACTGAGGTGTTTCAGGTGCTCTGAACTGGTGCCTGGTGGCAGGACAGTACGCTCAGCACGAAGTACTTAAACTGCATGTTCAGAAGCAAGGCTGAGCCGTCCTGCAATGCCAAATGGACAATAGCTACCAGGAACACCTCAGAACCATAATGTATTTCATTTTGAATTCATTTCCGGCCACCATGTGCTCAGAAATGTTTTACTGTTGCTGAAATTTCCATGATCCTCAGGTTCAGTTACCCAGCCAGGAGGCGGGCGGGCGGGGTCGTGGCCTGCATTTCAATACACTGGAACATAGACACACTATTTACTGTTCATTAATTTAGGGTTTGTAAAACTCTCACCACTATGAGTTAAGAAGCCACACTACATGTTCCCCTAGAGTGGCAAAGACATTGGGAACTTTCATGTGCCCAATAATCCACTATTTTCATTCTTTCCAAATGAAAGGGAGGGATATATCTTATTTTTAAAATTAATATATTAATTCTGTTTTCTTCCTGCAAGTGCTCATGTACATTTCCGTGATAATGACTACACACTTACTAAAAGTCATGCATAATTTTTTATTACTGAAATTGTGGTATTATCAGTACTGCTTTAGTTATCTTGACTAGTTTTTTCATCATGGCAAGTAAAATGTTTGCATGTCGCACTAAATGAGACAAATGGCAAAGCCCCCATGCATTTGTTTTCTACCAGGCATTTATTTGCAGTGCTCGCAAACCTCCCACTACTCAATATTACTGTCAACCACAGCTGCAGCTCTCACATCTAAATATTAATCTACTTTCCTTTGTAGGTTTCCAGGTCCAGCAATTTGCCAGATGCACAGTTTAGCCACATGAGGTTAGAGGGAAACATTACACTTCAAGTCTCCCTCTAACGGCATCCTTTTTTCTTGTTGGAATGAACTTCTGGTCCCTGTAGTTAAAGAATGAGCCACACTGTAAACCATCAGGGAACTGCAAGTTGGGCCTCTCTCGATTTGACTTTGAAAAATACAGTTTCTGAAACCAAGCCCACATCCCACCTTAACTTTCTTATAAAATTTAGCTAACAAAAAAAAATGCTTTTAGGAGATCGATTTTAACATTATTAGATTTGTTAGTGGGGTTGGTCATTTACATTAGGAATTATCGTTTTAAATCTGTGCCTTCCCCAAGATTAAGCTATGTTCTTTGAAGCAATATCTAAAATACCTGGCAAAACATTAACCCAAATAACACTTCATTATAAGCTATTAAAAAGTCCAGATGCACTTAATGTATAGACTTGAAACATTCTCCTACATTTTGTCTTACATGGAGTTTCATCTAAAGACACAGTAGCTCCTCCTCCTGTGTCAAAGCTTCCCTATCACACACCAAGTAGTTTACCCACCTCCCCTCTCCTTTTTCTTCCTGTGAAACCAATCTCAATAAAAGCTTTAACATTTATAAACACCACAGGCTTTCACTTAGATACTAAAAATTGCAACATACTCATTCCTCAGATTTTCTGAAAATACTGACTTTCTGATTCTAGTGAAATATAATTTTAGTAACTCATCAAGATAGAATACATAAAATTGGCATATTTTTGATGGGCACACAAATTGAGAAAGCATCTTTCCCAAATGTGTCATAGAAAATGGAATGCATCTGCTATGACAATATGGCCCAAAACCTGAACAAGAATCAGCAGGAAAAAATGGTTTTTCTTTCTTTCTTTCCATCTTATTGCCAAAGCAGAACATTTGAAATAATACAGGAGGACGCACTGTTACGTCTGTTAGTGTTTTTCAAAAGTGGTTTGGTTAAAGAAAAGACAATGAGAAGGCTCCATGGGAGACAGCAGTTTGTTAAGCTTAATCAGCGTACATGTGACTCCCAAATCTTTCCCTCAGCAGTCAAACCGATTTTCTTTCTAACTTTTGCTTAACATCTCTACCTAGTGTCAGAATGTAAGCACATATGTTGTTGGGACCTCATGCTGGTCTGGGGGTGGAGAAATGGGGAGTGTGTTGAAGAACATGGTTGATGCCAGGAACAAGCAAAAAATAAAACAAATTTTCAAGAATTTTCCTAATTGTACAGTGAATTGTGGTGTGTTTGTTGCCTTTAAGTTTTTGTACAATGGTAATCAGATTGAGATAATAAATGCTTTCACTGTCTTATCTTCTGTGTGTGCCCTTCTGTGCTGGCGACCAGTAAATAAAGCTTCATGTGCAATAAGCTGCTCCCGATGCCCAGGTGTCTTAGAATGAGAAGCTGAGAGGGAAGGAAAGCCCCTGAGATGTACTTGGAAAGGCATGATGCTACAAACTGAAGCCTGCCCCTGGGCATCTTCATGAATTCAGTTCCAGCTTTCAATTTCCTTTCTTGTCTTCCCTATTTGGAGGTGGGTTCATTCTTTTAGTTGAACAAAAAGGTATTTTAAAGATTATTCACTAGTCTCTTCTTCATTAGTCAGACTGTTTAGGAAACATACTTGTAAGCCATTGCAGAAGACGCTCTCCACTGCTCCGAGAACAAGGCCCCAGGAGCAGCAGAGGCGAGGACATTCCTGTTCCTGGCCATCCCCTTAGGGCTTACTATTTGTTCTGCCAACATTCATCTATTGATTTTTAAACTTCAAATTTTATAACATTCCTCTGATGTCTACATTGAAATGTTGCTTCCTTATAATGAAAATCTTCTTTAGAAATATAACATGATTAACATGTGATTTCTAAATGTACTAAGGTGTGCAACAATGCATCATAAAGGAATAGAAATGACCTGTTGTGAAACTGTGGTAGTGATGGGGGCACATTTTACAACACGTGCAAACTTGTACGCCTCTCGTATTAAACGGATCCAAGTCATGCCAGAAGTTAAGGTCTAGAAGTCCAGAGAACTGGTGAGAATCATGGGGAAGATTGTGAAAACCGACTTGAATACACACCTCTGTGTTGCACACTAGCCACACACTGGTCACTTCTTTGGACATTCTCTTCTAATCCATAAATTAACGAGAACTTCTACAAGAATGCAGTGAGTATGGAATCGTATGATATGATGAAATCACACACAACAATATTATTTCAATATGGTCTCCAAAAACACCTCAGATCTTTCCCACACAAAAGACATATGAGGTTAGAGGGAAAGATAAAACATCAAAACAATCTCTTAGCATTAAAATAAATGTGCATTAGGACTATATAGGAACTCAAAAGCATTTCCTTTAACTCATAGTATTTGTACATGATTCTTGGTTGTCAACTTGACTACATCTGGAATTAACCAAAACTTGAGTGACTGGGTACACCATTAAGGGATCTTTTTAAAATTAAATCCTTTAAAGTGGGGAGAACTACTTTTAATCCAGGTCTTTCAAGCAGGAAGACAGGTGTTTAATCAAGATCTTTGGAGGTGAGAGGATCCACCTTTAATCTGGACCACACCTTCTGCTGGCAGCCTGTGTAAAGGACATGGAAGAAGGAAGCTCTCTTTTTGCCTGCTTGCTCTCACTCTTGCTAGAAAATCCATTCCTTCACTGGCATTAGAGTGTACTTCAGGATTCTGGTATATGCTGAAGACCAGCTGAGACCTCCAGACTCGTGAACTGAACTACTGGATTCTTGGACTTTTCGTTCATAGGCAGCCATTGTTGGACTAGCTAGACCACAGCCTATAAGCCATTCAATCTCCTTTATTCTTTTTATAAGTTCTGTTCCTCTAGAGAGCCCTGATTGATACATACACTTATTTTTTAATCACTTTAAAAATACTTTCATTTTGTTTTTGAAATAAAAAAGAGTTCTATCTATTCGGTTCTGTTCCAAGACAATAAAAAATAAAGTTATTTGGTCTTTCTCTGCCAATGGTGTCTACATAATCTGATATAATAAACTTTCTCTAGAACCTCAAATATCTGCTAGACAGAAAAAAAATGGATTAGACTGATTTCTGCCCTTTTTTTCAGAAACTACACTAAGAAAATAGTAAATAAGATGCACAGTTTTTCTAGCTCTTCTTGCCACATAATCAAACAGTAAACTTCAGCAAATGGTTGGATTTTTTTCTAGCTGGCTATTGATTTACTTAAAGTTTTAATGTAATATCATTCATTTAATATGATCAAAATTATTGTAATGAGGGTTAATGAGCTAAGACATACTGAGAGAAAACAATCATTTTAGGCCCCTCATAGAGTTGAATATCCACCATGAACACGATTTGATAGACATTTATAAAAAGGAAAGATCCCTCTTAAAAATGATAGGAGTAAATGAAGTCACCTGATGGCTTAAAATTTCTATTAAAACAGGTGAAAAACTCTGGTCTGAGTAGTCGACATGATGTGTAAAGTAGCACGTGTTAGAAGCATGTGTTTCTGATGACTGCTAAACTTTAGACCATAGGCACATATCTACTTGACTAACTCGGATCCTGCTGTCCCCTGTGGGACAGTGATCCACCTGCAGCAGAAAGTTTCGAGAAGAGGCTACCAAGAAGTTAGCAAACTTCTGTGAGAAATCCGAATCTAAGCCCTAAATTCACCTTTCCACATTCCTACAACTGCTAGCCATTTGCTTCAGATGGCGCCCCTTCCACAAGGCCACCCGCAGTTACAATTTCCTTTCCTAAGTTTGGGGGGTCTGTTGGCTTTTTCTTTAGTCAAGAAAATGCTTAGTGGGGCATGTTGCAGGACACCTCCAAAAAAACCCACGCTACCTTGTAACTTTTCTTTAGCTGATCATTAAGCTACTCAGACTGCTTTTGGAGACAGGTGTCATTCTTATCAAAAATCAAGTCAGGGTCCAAGTCTAGACTCTGTCACTACTAAACGGGAGCGAAATGTTTCCTTTGCTCGGTTTCAGCTAGCTAGTGGTCCACAGGCGCGCACACCCCACAATCTTCTCCAGGGAAGGGCAGCCTGAAACTGGAGGGGTGGCCCGCACGCTTGCCCGGTGGCCACACCTGGCACTCACCTGGCTGCAGCTTCGCTCTTCACCCTTTGTCAGAGCCTGGGACTCCGCGGGACCCCGTGTCGGTTCTACTGGAGGTGACGCCGGTTCCAGCAACTGCTCCAGGCACGCGGTCCCGGGAAGAGAGGAGCTCTTTTGGTGGCACAGGTGCACCCCCGAGCCCCCACGCCGTGCGCCTTCATCTCGGACGCGGTCTCCCCTCGGGGGCGGTTGGGGAGAAGAGGACAGAGAGGATGAGGCAGAAGAAGAAGGAGCTGAGTCCGGGGAGCGTCCGCCAGGAGGCGTCACTCCCGCTGTCCCCAGGGCTGTCGCCGGCCCCTTAGCCACGGGCAGCAGATGTTCGCGTAAGCGGCGGCGCAGCGTGGACCCCTGCTCGGCTCTGGCTGCTCCTCCAGGCTCCAGGGGCTCCGGCGAGGAGCAGCACAGGTTGGGCTGCGAGGAGGAGAACACCCGGTCGAGCACTTGCTTCCGCTTCTTGAAGCCACTCCACCTGCTGCCGGTGCTCGCCACACCGGCCAGTGCGTCCTGCGTGGCCCTCGGGGGCGGCGGGGATGGGGTCGGAGTGGCCGCAGTGCGGCGCTCGGGGCCCCCGGTGCGCCCGCCCCCGCCGCCCTTGCCCTTGCCCACACCCAGCTGCAGGTTCTTCCAGAGCCGGGCCTGGAAGGAGGGGGACGCGGCGGGCTCGGGCTCGCCAGCCTCGGCTGCCCGGGTCTCCATCCTCCACCCGGGGCACCTCCTGTCACCTCCTCCTGCCTCTCCTCCGCCCTCTCCGACTGCGCCTCCTCCCCGAGCGTGGAGGCGGCGGCGGCGGCGGCGGCGGCCGGCGCAGCAGCACAAGCCAGGAGTGCCCAGCGGCTTCAGGCCAGCTCGGAGCAAAGCGGCTGCGGCCGAGGCCCTCCCGCCGCGGAGTGTCGTCGCCTCTGCTCGCGGCACCTGCCCGGCTGGGCTGGCGCTGTCACCAAGCGGCCGCAGCGTCTGCAAAGTTTCGAGCACGGAACTCCGCCGCTCCAGTCCACTGAGTGCCTCCAGGCCGCGCCCCAGATCCCCCTCCGCGCCGGCTAGGAGCTCGGGGAGCTGCGGGCACCCGGCGTAGGCTGCCAGCTGCACAGGGGACCACACCCGCGCCCTCAGGCCAGCACCTGTCAGTGGCAGAGGCGGCTGCCTCCAAACTGGGCGCGCACGCGGCTCACACGACAGGGCGCGTCCTGGCGTAGACGTCGGGGACCAGCAGCCCAGGCTAAGCCGCCCAGGACCATCCTCTGGCTCCTAGGTGGGAGGGCAGGCAGGAATCCTGTGGAGCTGTGTAGGGCCTGGAGCGAGCTGGACCTCAGTATGGATCTACAGTCGCACACACAGCTTGCTTTAGGACGAATCCCGCTGAAGTCGATCAGACGAAGTGTACCGGAGTGGAGTCTATGTGGGTCCCCCAGGGAGCTGCGGGAGCAATAAACCTCTCCAAAGGCTGCCTCCACTGGGTTGGGCATCCCGGGCTCAAGAGGAGAGTTTGATGTCTTCTGTCTTGACTTTGTTACCATCCACCCCTCCAAGCTCTTTGTTCGCGTGTGCGGTGACTTTACTTATGATTAAGATCTGACAGTTCCCAAAACCTGACAATAAAGCTAACCCTTCGATGGAACGCCTCAGGGCGTTCATTCACCTTGGACAGAGATGGGCAGGTACCCATTGCCTGTGACCCTATTCAGAGTTCAGACTTGTTCTTTTCACTCAAACAGATTTTTTTCTTTAGTTACTTCTTGCAGTTTGTTGGAAGACTGATCAAAAAGGGCTTTTTCTGTCGTCTCGATTTTGCTTCTCCCCAAATCTATGCCTCCAGGGTTTTCTGACTCCACAGGAATGCTTCTGCAAGGCTGGTAACAGCGCGCCCTTCCCTCCTCCACTGTGCATGGGCACAGTGCTGTTTGATTACTTAAAGTGGGCATTCTCTCCTTTCTGCCCAGCAGTTTGCCCTGGCGGTGTGGCCAGTCTCAGATTGTATTTTTCTTATCCTTCTAACAAACATTTACTGACTATCCACTATGTGCCAGGCAGTGATCAGCACTGAAGAAACAGTTGTGAGCACGTAGGGAGCACTTGAGTAGGGTTCAGGGAGTAAGAGAATAAATAGAATTTTTAAGAGTGAACAACTCTAGAGAGATCATAAGAGTACTATAACTGATTGCTGTAATACAGAACATCCCATTAAATTTGAACCTTAGACAAATCACAACAGTTTTTAGTACATATGCATTCCAAATATTATAGGGAACCAAGACCAAAAGACTGTAGTTGTTCTTTAGGCAAGTCTTATTTTACTGGGTGTCTTGTATTTTTACTGAATCTAACAAGCCCATATTTAGGAGTTGTGTGTTATAATTGGGTATGTTAAAAAAAAAAAGTCTTTCTGAGAAGACTAGGTTTGAGATGATAGGAAAAAGGGACAAAGAGCCAGCCATTGAAAATCCAAATGCAGTGTTCCAGGCACAAAAACACTGAGGCAGGAAGGAGCTTAACATGACTTATTCACACAGAGATGGAGACCATTCCAAAGTGGGTGAAGAAAAGTGGCCAGGGCTGGCCAGTTGGGAATGCAGAGTCTTCACAGTGAACATCCCATAGAGGAGCTTGAAACTGCTGTAAATTAATCAGGAACCCTTTGGGTGTATTCAACTCATGGTCTACAGGCTACATGCAGTCCAGGATATCCATAAGTATGGCCCAAGTTTGAATTTTCAAACTTGATTGCATGGTTCTTTAGTATAAACTTTGTGGATGACAATGCCATGTCTCAATGTTAAAAGGTTGGGTGTGTCTGCTAGATTATTTTCAAACATGGGAATAATGTGAATTACTAATACATCCTAGAACTGTTTTGAGCATATTGTGTCTTTATAAAGGACTTAGTCTAGTGCTTTGTATATAGCTCTAAGTTTATGAACCTTATGCTTGGGGGAAAGGCAAATCATCTATTAAAGATTGTAGGTGGCATTTACTTGACATTCTTCTGACGAACCCTGGAGCTATCAGTTGGGCTAATATAAAGGATGGTACAAAGAATTTCCTACTTAATACTGATGGGCTACATCTGTGTATTGACTGAGGCAATGACTACATGTGTCACCATATGGGATAGAGATGAGTAGAACCACATTCACATACAAATATATGTGTGCATATAAAAGTTGGTGAAATCTGAATGAGGTCAGCGAGTTTTAACAACTGCAATTTCCTAGTTTTGGTATGTCCTATAGCTACATATGATAGCATCAGGTGAAACTGGGTGATGTTCATAAGGGAATTCTACACAGTACTTTTGCAACTTCCTCTGAGTCTTTATTTCAAAATATAAAGTATCTATTAAAATTAAAAATTGGCAACATGTTTTTTAAACACTTTGGAAGCTGTTAAGAGTTTTTAAATTTTGGTGGACTGTTGCTTACACTGTAATTGAACCATCAAGGACCACTGTTTTCTTCCATCTCTGTTCTCACTAGCCTCAGCTCACCCCAGAATCAGTCCAGAAGTCTCCGAGGAATAGATGAGGAGAGAGCCAGGATTGCTAAGGCCGAGTCCACACTAGGGTAGGAGCCTGGCTTCTAGTGCTGTCAGGGAAGTGGTGAGGATTTCTCCACACAATGCCAACAGCCAGTCACATCAACTGTTTCAAAGCATCCTGCCCTTGTGGAAGCAGAGGCTTGGCATTTTACACTGGCTCCTCCTTCCCATTAATCCCATTTTGTTTATTTTCATTTCATTGAGAAGAAGATGAGGAGGGGTGGGAAGAGAGAAGAAGGAGGAGGAAGATAAAAATAATAACAATAACTGCCTCTTACCAGAACTTCATACACATGTCAAAATTGTCATGTTGTAACACACAGACAACTCTACACAAGCCATTTTATATTGATGGCCTTTAAATAATACATGTAATTGAATGATATAGTTTAATTTGTCTACTTTTTCTTCTACACAATTTTAGTTTTGCCCCTAGTGGAGAAGATTTGGCAGTTGGTGGCTCCTGAGGGACAAAGTCACTCTCCTTTAGGGACATGGCTACTAGTAGATTGCCTGTTCTCTGGCAAGTAGCCCTACACCCATGTGCACGTGGGCAGCACTAATTGGGTGTAGGGAGTTATTAATAACAGGGTTTTTTGTTTTGTTTTGTTTTTCAGAACATGAAAGTGGGAGAAAGACATGGTGGGAGGCACTAGGCAGAGCGGGAGGGAGGTGGTGGTGGTGGATGAGTATGATTAAAATATATTATATAAATGTATGGAATTTCAAAGGATACATTTGAAATATTATTTTTAAAATATTCCATGATTAAATTCTGAAATACATGCTCCCAAATAACATTTATCTATCGATATAAATTCTGTCACACGATTGAAAGAGCATGCACAACCCTCTGAAGTGCCTGAAGAGGACTATAATGCAGCTGTCCTATGAACAAGATAACCAGATGTGGTTTCTACTGTCAAATATCTTACATTTAGGAGAAGGTACTAGAAAAATTCTATACCATCAATAGAAAATGAGGAATTCATTGCAAGCATGCTTGTTGAACAGGCCTGAGTGCTTGTGTTCAGATCCCCAGCACACACATGAAAAGCCTGAGGTGGAAACACGTACCTGTAATCCCAGAGATGGGAGGCACAGACAGAACTGGGGAGCTCCCTGGCCAGCCAGTCTTGCCAGTCAGGGAGCTTCTGGTTCAGTGAGAGACTCTGTCTCCAGAAGGTGGAGAGCAATAGCGACGGACACCTAATGTCAATCTCTGGTTCCACATGGGCATGCTCAACTACACACACACACACACACACACACACACACACACACACACACACATACACACACACATCCCACAGGTGTGCACATGCACGTGTATATGTGTATAGACCACAAAAATAGAAAATGAATGGTATAAAGTGGCCATGGTGGAATACAGGGGAGTGAGGAGTAGAGAATTAGTCTTGAATACTCAGTGGAGATGTCTGATATCTTACTTGAGATACCATCTAAGCTAAGAACTATTGTGGGTTATGGGGTACACGGGCAACATAGAAAGTCTCCAATGACTATTTCCTATTGTTGTTATTATTACATTTTAAATGTTGGTATGAGTATTATTAAATGAGCATATTGTCAAATCTGGACATGTGGAAAACTTGGAAGGTAAGAGACAAGATTCCATGTGAAGAAAAGAGCCAATGAGTGACTCTTTGAATTTTTTCCTAGGAAGAGAGAATATTAATTGCAAAGAGGCTGAGGCAAAAACATATTCATCTCAAGGAAGAAGCTGTAGAAATAGAAGACACCGCAATAATGGCTTAGGACTAAACTGCAAAGGACTCTAGGCAACAAGAAAGGCTTTAGATCAGGGTAAATTTGGAAGCCATACTAGAGTGTTGGGCAGAGTTTCTCTCTAAGCCAATTGCAATTAAGAGACCTATTGTGACATCTGTACTGATGGTAAAGTCAAGGCTTAGGGCAAGAGCAGAATTTAGAGAGGAGCCATCACTGAGAGTCAGTGGTGGTTCTGACTGACGCGAAAGGGCAGAAGTGGTGAACCCAGGTGTGGTCTAGATCAATGGTTCTAGTGGGGTCGTGACCCCATTGGGGTGGATCAAATGACCCTTTCACAGGTGTCACCCTAGACCATTGGACCGTGGTAAAACACAGATACGTACATTCCAACTCATGCTAGTAGCAAAATTACAGTTATAAAGTAATGATGAAAATAATTTTATGGTTGGGGGTGTCTATATTAAAGGCTCAAAGCATTAGGAAAGTTGAGAACAACTGTTCTAGATGTATATTTAAAAGAAGC